GTTGCCCTTTCCCCTATTCAAGATTCCACCCCCTGCTCTTGAAGCTCTTGAAGTTCTTCAACGCTCTTTAACACACTTGGCCAATAACAAAGCATATGGCCTAAAAGCGTTCGTAGTAAGTCTCTGTGTGTGTGTGTGTGTGTGTAAGGTTTTTGCGGCATTTGTAAACTTCATAATCTTCATGGTGGCAGAAGACATAGAAGGCGAAGCTTATCAACAAATAAGGTTATTAATGTAAGATTTGAGGCTTTCACGGCGGTGACTATGAAGAAAGCAGTTTTCTGGGATTTGGCACCGTGTATATGTGCTGCTTTTGCCGGTTCTCACGGTCTCTTCGCTTGCAGATTTCTTATATTTTTTCCTCTACCCTGAAGATGGAGGCGATACGTTCCTCCGAAACGTCGGTTAACACCACATATACACGGTGCCAAATCCCAGAAGACTGCTTTCTTCAAGGTTATTAATGTAGGTAACATGCCTGGTCCTGAAGCAGGTTAACGGCTAGTCAGACCTAGGGAATGAGTATTCTGCGAGAAGCTGGTTCAGACTTGCAAGCGTACTTTTGATGTAAGAAAAGATGTTATTAAGAAAGAGTATGTGGAAATAGCAGAAAATCGGGCAGTATACCTGGTAGAGATCTCATTTGCCAAAATGATATTGGCTTCATTTTCAGGGCGAATAACCATACAGATGTGGAATCTGTCGGGCATATAGAATATTTTGACAAGCCTCAGATGAGCAGAGGGATTAGGAACTTGAATCCGGAACTTTCCGATTCACACAGTACTGCAGACAGGCCCCACGTTGGTCTAACTGATGTATACCTGTTACATAGGAAGGATCAAATTGTATGTTGCCTGCATCCTAGTTCAGGAAGTAAAAAGTGTCCTATATGTCATTCCTGAGATAATGAAGGGCCCCAGTTCCCATATGATTTTAAGTGTAATATCCTAAAAATATCCTACAAAATGCAGCGACCATCGCACAATAAGTCTTATTGCACATACAGCAAAGATAATAGCAAAGATACTTAAAAGAAGAATTGAAAGGAAAATAGAGGATGTACTTGGAGAAGATCAGTTTGGATTTAGAAGAGGAAAAGGAACCAGGGATGCAATTGGGATGATGAGAATTATAGCGGAACGAACTTTGGAGATAGATGAAGAACTGTGTGTTTGCTTCATAGACTGGCAGAAGGCATTTGACCGGGTAAACTGGACCAAATTAATGCAGATCCTGAAAGAAACAGGTATCGATTGGCATGAAAGAAGATTGATTAGCAAATTGTACATGGATCAGAAAGTTAGAGTACGACTGGACA